AATGATAAGGAGCTATTCTTCCATCCTTTAATCACACAATAAGTGGGGAACAATGGGGTCACACAATATAAAGAAGGGGTGCATCTCCTGGGTTCCAAATGCACATGATTGTTGTAGATACAATTTTTTACCATTCCAGGGTTACCTTTTGTGTTCATCAGGGGTAATGTTTGCTATGTATACATCATCTGCAAGGTTACAGATATGTAACCAAAATTTAAACATACAGTAACTGATGCTGGTGCACCTTTGGGATGCACATATGTAAAAGGAAAAAAATAACTTCAGTGCACTTGGGTTTCACGGCAGGATTTCCTGCGTGGTTATATAATGTACAAGTGTAAGTAGCCAAATGGTAGGCACCAATTTCCCCATTTGTGATGCTGGTTCGCCACTGTACTATATAATGGAGAATATACTACAATATGTTAACCCAACCGCTAAGTTGTTATACTATATCCCGGTACAATACTGTATACTTGAAGGATAGCTTTTGATTTCCATCTTGTCCACCAATAAACTGCAGATATACTGTACTCGCATACGGCGTGTTAAAAACCCCGCATGTCATCGAAGCGCCCTCGCGTACTGTTCTGTCTGTACGCGTGTGTTCTCTATGTTCTGGATTATTCAACTGCGGGCATACCTTGTAACCAGGCAGGTTAACGGCGAAAATGCTGTACAGTACAGTATACGACAAAGGGAAACCATCAGATGGAAACCCGCGCGCGCGGGTTCGGGTCTCTTCTGGAAGGAAAGAAGCGACATCACAGTGCGCGTGCGCACGCTTCTGCACGCTCCATTTATTCGCTCGCGAGCGTCGGATTTGTTCACTGCTGCGGTGTCGTACGTGTGTACCTTGTCCCATCCTCTTCGACGTTGTCGACCCGTCGAGATATTCTTCACTGGGAGACGTTGCGAATGAATCCTATATTCTTTCCGTTTACCTCAAGCTACATTGTGCTGACCACTTTTTCGGTCACCTTGATCTCGTGTCTGAGCGGCAAAATCTTTCTTCGCGGAGTGATTTCCATCGTTGGACAAGTGTTGAAAAGGGTGCAAAGATGATACCTTGCTTTGATCGTAATTTTCGGCCTGTCTCCGATGATCATTTACCGGCCATCATATTTAATTCCCTTGCTGTGGTACTTCCAATCTGTTCTAGTTGTGTTTACACAACTCCCGAGTCAGATACCAGTATGATTGGTGGATCGTGAGCTTCGAAATTCCGGGTAACTATACTGTATAGTTTTGTACAGTACCCACTTGAACGAGCATTTGAAGAAACTCCCCTCGAAGTTTACCAAGGATAATGAGTCGCCCACTTCCAAAATTATCGAGCAGTACTATAGCACAAAATGTAACCGTTCACATCAGGTCGTTTTATGGGTTCAAAATCTAATCCCTTTTGAAACCCCAACCAGCATCTCAAACTAATGAGTATAAAATGCTGGTAGATTCGATCTTCTTCCGAAAATAATGGTATCCTAACTCCTAAGAATAAAATAGGGAGAAGCTACAGCAGAGGATAGAAACAATTTGATCTTCGTGGTTTTTTGTTGGATGCCTTTCCTCATACATTTTAGGATTTTTAACAGATGCTTTTTCTCGCGTTAGCTGCCACCGTTCAGGTATCAGTTCTCTCTCTGTATGTCTATGGGTTGCACCATGTTATTGTGATGTGATTCAGTTGAATATATTGTATGTGACAGCTGAAGGTGTTATTTGTCGTAATGCTGTACTGCTGTAGACTTAGAGGAAGCTCGCTACAAGAGCTATGGATAGTGTTTCCAGTAGTGGCGTGCTGCATGTTTCTCGAACATATTCCATTGGGTACGTTGTAAATTGCTTGTAAGGAGATACACACATTTCTGAAATTTGATTGGTCAGCAGTTACGCTACGTGATTCCGGAGAGAGAAGGAAAATAAATTCGAACTTCAGGTATCCTTCTGTGATATCCGTGCTGTCTGTTTTCGACTAACAGTATACCTATTCCTATGCCATACCATGCGTCAGTATTCGTGCATGTAAACCTATACGATTCGAAAACCGCTGTTGGTCCATGCATCCAGGAAAGAATATACAGTAGTTGAAGTCTGCGGTCTTTACGAATGCGAAGAACATCCGACGTATGTCGAACCGCGGCCGAGATCCTATAACCAGTATAAACTATAGATGACCGTTGCTTTGCAAGCATCTTCCGGATTTGACGCATTCGAAGTTCGTCTGTGCCGAATTCTCGGTGCAATACAGTAATAGGAAAAATAGAACTGTGAATTGTGATGGTGTGAGCTGTTCATGGTCTGAAGGCTGTATAACCGCGTGGATGAGATGTCCATGGCGTCGCATGTGAAATGGCAGGCTTGCCTTCACGATAGACGTCTTATCATCGTAAATGCGACAGCGCGTACCTTATTGAATTACTGACTTATTGTTCTTCTGACTCCCGTATCTTTAATTGTATCCGCGTTTCTTGTATAATTTTTCTTGCCGTCCATCACGTTCAATACGTATGACAATAGGATATCATGGTGTACAGTATTTGGTATACTGTACCGTATATAGTGTCGTGTTTTACGCGACTTAAAATTAACTACTTCCCTCGTCTTGAAATCGATGGTTCAGGTAGGTATACATAATTTTTTGTGCTAAATTAATAGCATACACAACGCGAGCTGGTGATGATGTGCCTTGGAAATGTCTTTGTACCCATCAGTTTAATCAATTAAGTTTTCGTGAACTTATTCTTTCGTAAATAATTTTGCGAGAATGGGCGAATCTGAATACATGCAGTGAAGGTGACAGTTTGGATTGCGAATGTATGAACATCCTATGAAATTGTTTTTCAATTTTACAGTATAATCGTGGTATGACGTAAATAGTTAAAATACAGCACATTTTTCGGTGCATTAATCTTTTTCTGAAGTTGCTGCAAGCCTGTCGTAAGGAGATTTTACTCTATCTAGTTTCATCCCATGAAGGACATACCGCACTTGCAAGGCTAATTTAACTTCAAAGCAATATGGTATGCAACCTGACTCTTATAATACAATACCTGTACTGTAATCGAACCAGCATTCCCATTGTCCACACAGCCTACTCCTACTGTGTCTGAAAATTTTATACATTAATCAGCTCATCTTTGGGCAAACGATGGCATGTATATTGTATAGGATTTACACTACAGTATTTATGATGTGCCTGTGTATGTTAGGGCGGCGGTTCCTTACTGCTGGTGGTTACAGCAGTTTCTTGATTGAAGATTTTTTAATGCAACATATTTCATAATATGATTGTACTGTATAGCACACACACTTTCTTGTGGAAATTTATAGGAAAAAGAAGGGGTTGCGTTATGTGAAGGTATCGCATTTTCGAAAAAAAGGTTAGAAGTTAATTTAGGTGTGTGTCATACTTGTTTTTATTGGGAAATGTTGGACCAGTTTAAACTTCAATCTTTTTTTAATGGAAGCAATTCAAAATTTATGGAATTCGAGTTCAAGTTATAATTTTGTTGTGTCTTACTCGCATTTTTGACACATTGCAGATCTTTCGTCACTATATAGAAGAATAATGGGGTGCATGCATATTAGTCCTGGCTTATCAAAATTTTAGGCTGGATAATTCAAGTGCGTGTTTTACTCAAGGGCGCGTGATATGTGAGTACAGTATTTAGGATGAGTGATAACTTCAACTGGGGAGATTGAAATACTGCTGTCAAAAGTGAAGAAGTATGACAGAACTTGTTCTTCACAGTTTTGCGTCTCAAAATGAATCGACTTTTGTTATTCGAGGCATCAATGAAGCAAGTGTAACGTTTTAGAATCTTTTTCATTCTTTGGCTAACCCATCTTCAGTTTGGGAAATTTCAAGAGCTGAAGCTAGGAATGTCTTTCAATTTGCGACTGTTGGACTGCTGCCCTGTGATGAATACCCGAGTTTTCGGAACGAGCTCCTCGACACTGGATTACTCTGCTTAACTCTAAATATTATTTGTTTCTTTTTTGTCGCGGAAACAGGAAGGAGTGAATAACGGGAAGCAAGATGCGGATTCATTCGCGGACTGGAAAGATGGACCTGAAGGTGCCAGCAGTTGTTCGTGGTCGTCACCTGTGAGCGAATCTCACCCGGCCAGTGATTCCGCGTCCACTTCGCCCACCCAGACGACCTGCACTTTCTGGAAGCGACGCCTGTTACAGCGTCACGTTCAACAGAACAGGCGCACTCAACTTATCACGATTTCTTCGGTTGCCGAAGATTCAGAGGAAAAAGTAAGTGTGCTTTTGCGCTTCTTTTTGTTTTTCTCTCATCGTGGTGGTCACTGCCTGCGAATTTATTGGATTAAGTGGTTCTTCGTATATTTACGTCTATCTCTGGTCAGAGCAATTAACAATCGAGTTATCGATCGCGGAATTGAATTCAGTTCAAATCGCTGTACCAGCATGAAGTGACAATTACAAAGCCCTCTTTTATCCGTGTTGTGGTCTGTGGACTCTGTGCTAATTTATCGGATTGAGTTAATCTGCGGATACTTTCGAATGTATCTGTTCAGAGCAGTGAACCATCGAGGTTGCGGTCGATCGCGGGATTAAAAATACAGTGAATGGGCAATGTGAAATATTGGTTTTACACGAGCGATTCTCTGACGAGATTAAACTAACGACTCACCTTCCTGAATAAATTGTTCGAGCTATTGTGAGTATCGAAGCATCGGCTGGATGTCTTCGATTCATGTGTATCTTATGATTGTTCATCGTGTGTTTTTGAACGAATTCAACGATGGGTCATATACCGGCAATCTCTCAAATTTGTAAGTACATGTACAGCATAACAACTGTACCCGCGTTTTCTATGTTATGTTAGTATAGTAAATTTTTTTTGAGTGGGTAGCAGTTTCATGAATTGAGTATAAACTGTAATTAATTGCTACCCTTGAAAAAAGAACTTTGTTTTCCACGTAATATCGTAGCAGTACTATGGGAGAAGTCTGAGACAGGATTTGACAAGTGAACTAAGGAAACTCAGGGCTCGGAGTGAAGTGACTTGACAACGAGAGCAGTCCAAGTTTGAATAGATCGATAACAATTGGAAGGCGCATATACAGCTTCAGACAAGATATTGTTTGCATGATTTACATGAATAATCAATGAATCATAAGGCGAGACACGCGAAAGCGTTCATGCAAAATACTGTAACTTTTTCTTCCAAGTCGGCAAAGAATCGAAGACCAATTAAATGATCAGATTCTTGTTTCTCTATAATCCTCCACTTATAAAAGCGGTTACAATTAGTTTGAATGAATTTTCTTTTTGCTGCGTTCTCTCTTGGTACTGTACTTAATCAGGAATGTGCAAGTTTATTACAGTATTTCCAGTTGCTTCGTGGTTCTTATCGTATTTTACGCGAAGCGATCAATTAAGATTGACTGCTGAAAAAGTTGCGGGCGTTTCGTTTACATCGGATTTTGCGAGTAAACCTGGTTTCTCCTAGGATATGGTTGAAAAACACAAGTTGGAGTTGTGTTTTTCGTAATTGTCAAGATTTCAACACAACTTCAACTCATCTTCGGGGCTGACAGTTGATTCATTTGTCATTATTTAATGATGGATATGGATTTGATCTTATGGCACTTTTTGTAAAAAAAAAAAAAAAACGATGAAATGGAAGTTTTTAGTTTATTTAGGCATTTTTAAATTTGTCGTTGTGTGCATTTTCTTTTGTGAATATTTAAAAACTAGCCTGTGAAACCTTGCATCAAATTAACCTAACACACTTCCGCTCAAATGGATATCACATTTGTGTTGACGAATTGTTACATGAATAGAAACGTGTTGAACTCACAGATTCATCGTGAAATACTGTACTCACATGTTTCGGATTTTTCGAAGAATTTGGCTGTAGTGAAACAGAATTTGGCTGTAGTGAAACAGATACAGGAGAGATCGTGACAGCTACAGAATGGAAATGAAGAAATATTTTTTGGAAAGCTCATCCAGAAATTCCTGCTTCTCTATATTGAGCTTAAGTGGAAGCGCCACGAGAAACTCACTTGTGCGGAATGAATGGTGAATATTGTGTGAATCTCAGTGATAAAACTGTTAAATCTCTTCAATTTGAATATTTTACCACAAGAAGCTGTTCGAGCAATTGCGATACGTCAGACTGAACTTGACGCTAAGGTAACCCAATTAATGAGAAAAAAATTCGGTTGATTATTGACAATCGCTTAGACCAAATTTATCTCGACTAATCGCAATAACGTTTATACCTTAGAAATGAGTTGACACATGCCACCACGGAACAACAGTATGTTATTTCTCGCGTTTTCCTCAGTGAATATCCTTACTACTACAGTATTACTGTTCCTCACGAATCATGTTCAAATAAGAATAAGTGAGATTGGATAAGTTGTTCAGGTTTCAAGGATGACCGGTCTCACATGCGTTTTCTTTTCTTCTTCATTTTCTCATATCCTTCCCGACGTTCTGAAAACTGAAGCTTTTTCTTGTCAGTCGTCGAAGAGTAATTATCAATTATGTATCCTTGACAAATGAAAATATTGTAGTTACGCTGGCCAGCATGAGACGCAATTTGAATTCTTCAGAATCTGAGGAGTCTTTTGATGTTACCCTTGCGGGTGCTGCGACTTACCCTTATGAAAAACTTCCGAAATGAAGTATATCAACGCTTGCGCATTCGAAGTGTGAATGATAGCTACGGTTTGTTTAATCGAATTTGAGAAGGTTTCTACCTCTCGAGCGTGTGGTTCATCCAAAACTTCGCGAGCGAATTTATTGAGTGTCAATCGTTGCTTTCTTTGTTGAATATATCAACTTTATAATAGGGTGTTCTCACCCCGGTCGCAGCCCGACCGAATTTCTGAGTTTTATTCAAGCTTTCATACTCTATTCCATTTTCAAATAAGGTTCACTGTCTAAATCTTCATTTGTTGGGTTTATTCCTGACATCTCATTCCTAAAACTGTTAAATCCCCTTCAGTTGAAATATTTTACTGCAAGAAGCTGTTTGAGCAATTGCCATCCGTCTGACTGAACTTGACGCTAAGGTAACCCAATTAATGAGAAAAAAATTCGGTTGATTATTGACAATCGCTTAGACCAAATTTATCTCGACTAATCGCATTTAACGTTTATACCTTAGAAATGAGTTGACACTTGCCACCACGGAACAACAATATGTTATTTCCCGCGTTTTCCTCCGTGAATATCCTTACTACTACAGTATTACTGTTTCTCACGAATCATGTTCAAATAAGAAGTGAGACTGGAAAAGTTGTTCAAGTTTCAAGGATGACCGGTCTCACATAAATTTTCTTTTCTTCTTAATTTTCTCATATCCTTCCCGACGTTCTAAAAAATGTAGCTTTTTCTTGTCAGTCGTCGAAGAGTAATTATCAATTATGTATCCTTGACAAATGAAAATATTGTAGTTACGCTGGCCAGCATGAGACGCAATTTGAATTCTTCAGAATCTGAGGTCAGAAAACTACAATGGGAACGCCCACGACGCTGAATGGGAATACTTTTTGAAGGCTTTACTTCATATAGTTGCGAACGCGTAAGCTTCACACTTACTATCGATGCCAAACAAATTAGCTTAAACTCTTTTATTTATTTTCGTCCATTATACTGAATGGTGTTTCTCAAAAGCGACCAGAGAAGATCCTATAGACGCCATCCAATTTAAGACAAGAGTTAGCCCGATTTCTTGCCGAAGTCTTGGTCTCACGTATAAAGCAGAAGTACATTGAAGCTTGAACCATGTCCGTATGTTGGATCAAGTTTTTCCATTTATTTCAATGGACACGTTCTTAATTGGTTCTCCTGTCCATAAGAAATTGGGTAAATGTCCCCCAAAAAATTGATTTTTTCGTCTCAACTTCAAGATGCAGAAAATAACGGTGCAGAAAAATAACGACACAGAATATGGCACGGAAATGAGCCCAAAAAGCAAAAAAAAGAGCACCAGTTTATGTACAAATACAATTTCCTATAGATCTCCATGAAAAATTGTTGTTCCTATGAAACTTATTTTGAGGACTTTCTGATCAATAGATCATAATCCATTTTGATGCAATGTATCGAACCCGCAATTCACACTTTCTAGAAAAAACATTTAGATGAAAGCCTATCTCTAAAAACATTTTGAGCAAAACCCCCTTAGACACTATGTTCTTAATCTGCAATGCGCACATCCTGAGAAAATGAAGAGAAAAGCCCATGTTCATAAACGTTTTGATAATAAAAAAAACTAGTTTGAGCTACAAATTTTGCCTGTTGTGCTAAGGTAATTTTTTAGCATAATACCTTGCAAATAACACGTCGTGAGAACATGACGTTGTTCAAATATGTCCAACATCAACTTAAAGACATCCTCTGCTGTTTTACTGAAAAACGTAAAAAGATCGGTTTAGAGCTGACATTATTCGGATGTCAGGGCATATTATTTGAGTTTCAAGTGTCCCAAATTTCAAATTGTCCGGATGTCGGTGCCCCAGTGTACAGTACAATATCTCACTCCTTCATAGCAATACTGTAGCGTATCGCATCATTAAACTGTAGGTGTATATATATGGCCGGACAAAGTTTGCTTACCATAGTGCTGGTTAGGAAAAGTCGGTGGGGGGATTCGGGACAGAGTCCGGAGAATAAAGTAGTGACAGACAACCCGAGGAGATAAGCCGAGACGGAGACGCATTTTTAATGCCGAAACTTGTGCTGGGGGGGAGGGGGGGAGAAAAGTCGCATGCGCATATGAAGAAGCACGCATGCACTCGACGCGTCACTTACTTGTATTGGGGTCCCTTCTCACTCTGTCTGTATACACTTTATATCAAGTGTGTGTGTGTCTTTCTTCGTGTCTTTCCTTCTTTCTTTCTGTTAAACGTGTATTTCTCTCTCTCTTTTTCGACGTTGTCACGCATTTCCCTCAGGGCCTCTTATTCAGTGTGTTGTTTCTTATCCCGCATCACTTCGTTTTGTATACAGCAGTACAGTATATATGCTTCCCCGTGTGGCGTCTCGAATGCTGATTGTCTTGCTATACGGTTGTGTTCTTCGTTTCTTTTATTTTTCGGGCCTGTTTCTTTTTTGTTGTTGTGTTGTGGTTCTTGTATTGTACCCGCGGATCGACTGATGCGAAGCTGGGGCTTTGTGTTATCGTCCCCGTTCGTTTTTTTTCCTATAATGAAGGATCTGCGTGGTGGATTCCATGATTTAAACATTTTTTAGATGGAAATTGAGCTACAGAGCGGGTTGATTTTCCGAAAGTTTTTCGAAATGGCGTTGCTGTACTTTTTTTTTTATACAGACGTGGTGTACAGTAGTACTGTGTTAGTGTTGATATATAAGTGCCATACGTGATTGCGTTAAAGTGTTCTCGTTGACGACATTGCCGTTCGCCTATCTAATGATTCAATGTTTTAAAATTTAAAACCTACGCGCATTTTAAACTCCGCATTTTTGGATTTTTCTGTGACGTCGTATTTTTCCGATTTTATTTATTTTTGTTCATACTTCAATCTCTTCTCGAATCATATCTTCATAATATTTACCTTTGTGAAAAAATGAAAGTCTCACGTACAACCTGACGAGTGTTAGGGTAAAAAATTTTGAAATGCCCTAAGATGGTGGATCTCGAAAATTTACGCAAGAAATTCGTCGTNAAAAAATCGTATTATGGAACGTTTATTGTGCAGCACTCTTGTACTGCAACAAGTTTATACAGGTTGTAGTTGAATTTCTGTAGGAGACGACAAAATGACTTTTTGCATTTTTCTAGCCAAATCTCGAAACATTATTCGGATGTCGGGGCATATTATTTGAGTTTCAAGTGTCCCAAATTTCAAATTGTCCGGATGTCGGTGCCCCAGTGTACAGTAGAATATCTCACTCCTTCATAGCAATACTGTAGCGTATCGCATCATTAAACTGTAGGTGTATATATGGCCGGACAAAGTTTGCTTACCATAGTGCTGGTTAGGAAAAGTCGGTGGGGGGATTCGGGACAGAGACCGGAGAATAAAGTAGTGACAGACAACCCGAGGAGATAAGCCGAGACGGAGACGCATTTTTAATGCCGAAACTTGTGCTGGGGGGGAGGGGGGAAGAAAAGTCGCATGCGCATATGAAGAAGCACGCATGCACTCGACGCGTCACTTACTTGTATTGGGGTCCCTTCTCACTCTGTCTGTATACACTTTATATCAAGTGTGGGTGCGTGTGTGTCTTTCTTCGTGTCTTTCCTTCCTTCTTTCTGTCAAACGTGTATTTCTCTCTCTCTCTCTCTTTCTTTTTCGACGTTGTCACGCATTTCCCTCAGGGCCTCTTATTCAGTGTGTTCTTTCTTATCCCGCATCACTTCGTTTTGTATACAGCAGTACAGTATATATGCTTCCCCGTGTGGCGTCTCGAATGCTGATTGTCTTGCTATACGGTTGTGTTCTTCGTTTCTTTTATTTTTCGGGCCTGTTTCTTTTTTGTTGTTGTGTTGTGGTTCTTGTATTGTACCCGCGGATCGACTGATGCGAAGCTGGGGCTTTGTGTTATCGTCCCCGTTCGTTTTTTTTCCTATAATGAAGGATCTGCGTGGTGGATTCCATGATTTAAACATTTTTTAGATGGAAATTGAGCTACAGAGCGGGTTGATTTTCCGAAAGTTTTTCGAAATGGCGTTGCTGTACTTTTTTTTTATACAGACGTGGTGTACAGTAGTACTGTGTTAGTGTTGATATATAAGTGCCATACGTGATTGCGTTAAAGTGTTCTCGTTGACGACATTGCCGTTCGCCTATCTAATGATTCAATGTTTTAAAATTTAAAACCTACGCGCATTTTAAACTCCGCATTTTTGGATTTTTCTGTGACCGTCGTATTTTTCCGATTTTATTTATTTTTGTTCATACTTCAATCTCTTCTCGAATCATATCTTCATAATATTTACCTTTGTGAAAAAATGAAAGTCTCACGTACAACCTGACGAGTGTTAGGGTAAAAAATTTTGAAATGCCCTAAGATGGTGGATCTCGAAAATTTACGCAAGAAATTCGTCGTGAAATTTTTTTTTAGGAAGTGTGTAGTTCTTTCTTTTCTAAGCTAAAATTTTAAAAATTATTGAGAATAGAAGAAGCAATTTTAGGAAATTGATGAAAGTTGTAAGTGCACAAAAGAGCACCAAAAGGAGTCTTCAAAATGTTCGATCGGGTCAGGCTAAAATCTTTGTTTTTAATTTCGTGATTTTTGTGTGTCCTCAATGGCGACTCGCTCTTTCGTTTCACAATACTTGCTCTTTAAAGTGCATTTCATCACGAGAAAAGCTGCATCTGCTCTTCGGGAGAGGTACTCCGCTAAATTGCATTTTTTTCATGTACAGCAATACATAACATTATTAATCAAGATTGTAAAAAAAAAATGGATCAAAGCCTCTTGTCGAAAATTGGAGATTATCTGCCCGAAGAATTTTTAAAGAATTTTCGGCTCAAAGGAATACTTCAGGAGCTATTCTCGTAAAAATTCTTCACGTGTTGGACCGCCTGAAAGTTAGTGTCTAGTTGGGAAAACGTATGTTTTTAAATGTTCGTGGAATGGTCTTGATCCTGTCAAAGTTTGAAATTATAGGCTACGAGGTACAGTAAGTTAACATTGATTTTAAACGATGGCTATTGGTAAAGTTTACTTACGACTTGTTGTTGTTCCGAATTCCAAATTTGGAGCCTGTGATTCCTTGTGGAGATTCCCGTGAATATAAACTGGACTTGCTGTCTCTGCACCTGATTCACTTAACCTGAAGATATGTGTTTATTATTGCGAAACACTTGAGCATTGACAGATCACCGATTAAAAAACCCAGGATTAGCTTCTAGATTCACTTTTCTTTATAGTCGTTATCATCTTTTTTGTTTTGTTTACCGTATAGGTTTTTATGTTTCTTAATGCAGTAATACGGTAGATTCCTCTCCAATTGAAGCTTGGGGCTAGGAAACAATATCCGTACTTACTATTGCAGGGAATCGCGATGAACTGAAAGTACTTTGTTAACATTTTACTGGACTTCGAATAAAAAAATATTCTAGGATCTAGGTGTTCTTATATTTTCGATGTGCAGGTGGTCTCCTTATAGTCCTTACTATGAATTAGTATGAAGACAATGTTTTCACTATCACGGATTTTTTCTCCGCTATTGTCGAGCTCCCTTGCTGGATTTTTCTACTTTTTCTTCCAGTTCGACGGGTTTATTTTAGTTGGGTCGTTCAGGCTTTGATGGATTGAGTTCGTAATTTAGTAGACATCTGCCCATTTTAAGCCGAAACAAAAGCTACTGTAACGTCTCCGTTGGTATTAAACCTTTTTCGCTAATTTCAACCTTTTTGATTTCATTCTCTTTTTCTGCAGTGCTTGTATGATACTTTCCCCATATCTGCATTTACATTTCACGCACTGTTTTTCTCGTCATCGTATTTTTCTTCTTTTTTCGACAATTCCGTTCGGGTGTATACGGAATCGGTTCTTATTGAAACCGGAACGCGTGTATTGCTTGTGTGTGTTGATGAACTACTACCACAGTAGCAAACTTTCGGTTTATGTATAATCAATTCTTGATTTTTTATTTCGTCTTCCAGAAAACGTGGTGTGAAGAGCGAGGATTCAATTCTTGGGGAGTGCCTTCATTTTGCAGTCATTCAGCAACAGATAAACTTGGACACCACGACAACGACGATCGTCTGTGTCAACTTCAGAAACATCAGCAACAGCAAGATCAACGTGTCCCAGGCTCACCTACCTGCTCCTCCAGCAGCGTCAGCACCAACGAAGACGAGGACTCGTCCAACAACGAGCAGCTCAGAAGACAAAAAAGACGAAGGTTGTTGCGCCTCAGGCGGCGACATCTGTTGGGGAAAGTCGGTGCGATGCCGTGGTCTTACCTCGCTTTGCACCACCACCACCAACAACAACAACAGAATCAAGTGCAACAACAGCCCCATAATCAACAACAGCAGCAACTGCTTCAGGAGTATGGAGAAGACACTTGGCCAGTGGGTGGGAATATCGAGGAAGACGATGATGACGACGAGGATGCGGCATTGTTGGATTTATTGGACGCGTGTTGTTTTGATCGTGACGACTTCCCGGCGGCGGCGGCGTTGGTGTCGTCGTCGTCGACTTCGTGCATCGCCGTCTCTGCTCCGGCGTGTGATGCCGACGGCGGCTGTGATCCTGACCACGGCTTTGCGAACTATATGCACGATGGAGCCAGTGTCATGTCCGATTCAGGTGAGAGAAACTTTTCGTTGTTGTTGCTGATGCTGGCTTGAGAGAAGTTGGTGTATACAGGTGGACTCTTTCTACACCAGAATTCAGGGGACCCCAGAAATGAAATTTGAACGTGAATTCAACCTGAATCAAAATTATTTTCAATTGTTTTAATTTTTAAAAAGTTCCTTTTCAAAAATTCCCAATTATATTCAAGTGTGATACGTACCTAAACTTTGCACAACTTCTTTGAAATTTTATCCCAGCTTATGAGGTCCACTCCCTTTTTTCCTCTCGACAGAAAAAACAAAAATATGTGCGTGGTTCTCTAATGAACATGGTGAACTAATTTTTGAGCGACATCTTGTGAGGAGTACAGCTATTCACGATGAAAATTAACATTATGCTGATTCATTCAAGTATTTTGAAGATTTTCAAGAGTTTTTTTCCTCCAGGCTGTAGAGTATTGGAAAGTACCCTTTGGGAGAACCAATTGTGTCCAGAACGCTAGGTCCCTCTAATTGATTTTTACTGGCGTTTGTCAGAAGAATTGAACCTGAAAAGTTCAAAATTTTCACAGGCAAAAAAGGAAGGATTGCAAAATTTTACTCATCATTTGTTTAAAAAAACAGGTCAGTGTTGCTGGAACGGATCAGACGGACGGACCGAGTTGACAGACCCGGATGACAGGTCATCTTGCTCCTCTTCTTGGGCTCCGTTGATGAGTGACACTCCTGATGAAAAGCCGGAGAGCAGCAGGTTGCTGGAACTCTTAATGCGAGACAGTGCTTCTCCCGCGTGGTCCAGCATTTCGAACAGCACTGACCCATCTTCCTCATCTGTCATGATGCTCATGGACGAGGACGGTTTGGGAGCTGCTGCTGCTGTTGGGAGTTCGATGCTTCGCTGCGAAGACCATCATCGTCATCATCATCATGAGCAGCAGCAACACCATCACCACCTGCAGAACCACAATCAAGTGTCCTTGCCGCCGTATGATCGAGGGGATTATGATTTGAATGTTTGCTGGTCTTCACCTTCGCAATCCGTTGCTTCGGCGGGGTTCTATGATCAGGATGACAGGTCACCTGTGTTCAACGGTGGTTCGTCGGTTTCGACCCCCAGAGGTCATGAGGTGAATATATTATCACTTCGGAATTGGGATGTGAAAATTATTTTCGTTTGAAATACTGTACTTTGATCTTCGGAATATTTCCGTGAAAATGTGTAGAATAATTTTGTCGTTGTGTTGAAGCATTCGAAATCAAGAAAGGCAAGGTTCGGAGTTTAAAGGAATAATCTTCAAGTGTTCATACGGGAACAGATGGCAACTGGAACGCATAATTCGCTGTGTAAATAAAAATATTCCCAAAAATTAATTTCGCAATCGTTCTTTTCAAATATACAAACATTTATAATCTCGGGGGGAAAAGGTGAAAGTAGGTAAAAAAATGCATTGTAAGTACCATATTTCGAAAATTTTATTATACCATTTTTTTCTGGGGGAATAAGTCATGGATGGAATCCAAGATTTATTCAACTAATATTAGATCGTTCATGTGGAGATATATATTTTAAAAGTTGGAACAGATTTACGGAACACTGCATGTTCAAATGAGAACGCGAATGGGGTTTAAATATTGGGACGAACTAGCTTTCAAATATCTTATTTGGATGTACTGCATATGTTTTCTGAAAATGAGTATTTTAATTTAAAATTGTAAATGAAACCGCTGATGGTTATCAAATACCGTTTATTTGCGAGAACGATATCTGTTGTGTGCGGTTGCTGAGCAGAATCTGATGGAACATCATTCCTTCTCGATCCACAGACATTCAGAAAACTTGAGCTGGAAAGTTCGGTTGCTGCGGAATCATCTGATACGATCTGCCGACCGGAAGACACTTGTTGCTGGGAGATGCTTCCACCAACATCCGATGACGGAAGTCCGAGGGATTCCACGGGCTTGTTGTACCTGCAAAAGCAGTCCATAGTTGCTGCAAACCCTGTCGTCCCTGTGCGTCCGATTGCCCCCAAACCGACAGCAATTGTTGCCCCCCAGCAGGATTTATCCCCGGTGAAAGAAGAGCAGAACGGTGCGGCTGGCAACGCTGCCACAATCATTGCCCCTGCTGTGTTCTTGCACCATGTTGCAAGCAATGTTACTAGTACTACTGGGAAGAGTGCTGCGGAAAATAATCAAATTGGGAGTCAGCAGCAGCATCAGCCTGCCGTGCTTCTGCTTGCGACGACTGCTTACAGTGAGTAACTGTTGCTGTTACGGAACACAGAGTCGAAATCCGATTATGTTCTCTCACTTTGACCGTTCCAAGTGTTTTTGATTATGTAAACTTGAAGTCGAACTTCTAGGGACCAGCAGAGCAAATATGAGTTGGGGAAACAAGGATTTTTCTAGAGTGGAAGGAAAGGAGAATTTCAGGAAATTGTATCGGGTGATTTTCTGGGCCTTAAATTGCTTCTGAAATGAGTCGAAAGGATGCTGAACTGGCGAGGGTTCATTTGCCCAACTAGTCCCTCACTTTCTTTCAAAACACATCGAGCTACATTTTTATTGCTTTTCTCTTACCTGTGCCATTAAAAAAAAACAGCCAAAAGGACATCAGAAAATCCAAGTTATGGATTGAAAAAAGTGAACATAGGAAGTATTTGGCTCGGGAAGGTTGGATTTATATTGAGGTTCAAGTTTAGTATCTCCACCAAATTTCAAAGTTTTCTACGCAAAAAATGACTGCAAGTACCAGTTTATTTTGAAAAAGAAAACACACCCCAACTTTGTTTTAATGGAAACTTTACGGTCCTTTTTCCACCTTTTTAATAGTGGCCATTTATTCACTTCGAATGCTGAAAAACCTTCAGGAAGTGTGATGCTCCACAATTATTTTTGCAATTTTTGTGTGTCTATTCAGATGTGTTTGTGGATTTTAATTTAAAATTAAGACCACGATCTGAACGAAATGAATCAATCCAGGAATCAAATAAGTTATTGAAGCGATATGCTTATGCAGATAAAACTCGCTTGGAGTTTGGCAGGCAATAAAGCAGGCGCCCCATTACTTTGCTGTTTCAGTTGCTGTGTTTTTAAATTATTCTATAGTCGAATATATGCGTGATGAAAGTATTTTGATAATTTTAGATCCGGCTCAAGCATTTGGGAGCAACTGTATCCCAGGGAACTCTCCTTCGACGTGGATTGGTCAGCTGACACATTCCATCGTGCCCCGTAGTGTTGCTGGTGAGGAAGCCCAGCAAACCCAGCAGTTTGGCAGAATGAAGGGCAAGGAAGAGTGCACAATTGAGCAGAATTCAAATACGGATCAGCGCAAGCGTGTTTTCGTTTGTACGTACGATGGCTGCGTCAAGAATTACTTCAAATCCTCGCATCTCAAGGCTCACGTCAGGACTCACACAGGTATTATTTTGTTACATCATTTTATTACTAGAATTCAAACTTTTGTCTGGAGTTTGACGAAGAAATATTCACGCGATGCAAAATGGCGTACCCTTTGTGCCGAAATGACGAAATAACACATGCAAATTGACTGATATTCTCGCCCTCGTCGAGAAACAGCAGTCTCAAATAAGTGAATCTTCAAATAATTTCAATTCTTGAAATTTTTGGCTGAGTGCAGACGAGCTTGAATTTTTTTTTTAAAATCCCGGGAAGTCCCTCTGGCGATTTATTGTGTTGGTGAAATTCCGGTTGAAAATTTATTCTGTGTCCTTGTCCTTTTCTTGTTCAGTATTGTAATTTCTCGCATCATTTTTCGAGCTCCAACGATGGAATCATGCTGCGTGTGGTCCTCCTTTTGAATCGCAGTAATCAACTGGAAGTTCTGGCCAGTTATTTCCATGCCTCACTTTTTTTTTCTTCAATTTAATCCCTTAGGATTTGGTTAACTGTCTTATTTACAGAAAAAATATTTTAGTACTCGTGACAACGAAGCCATCGAGAAAAATCTCGTCACAACGAAGCCATCGGCAGCAGTAAAATAGCTTCGTTGTAATGAAAAAATCCGTTATAAATTAACTCATTTAACATTGTGGCTATTGGGTATGGCCCTAAAATTGGCGATTTTTCGTTATGACGAGATACGGTTGTAGTACCGTATCCTCTTGCGTAATAATGTTCAACTAGTGCTAGTTCTATAACTTCTATTGCATCTAGAGAATTTTATGAGGGGCTCTTTTGTGTTGGGCGTTGGGACTTGGGGAGCCCAGGATGAGAATTTTAAAAATACAGTAGCTCGTTGTATCCCTTCTCATCATTCACTCACCGAATCGGAGATTAGCAAAAAATATGCCGTGAAAATAAAAAAAAATTAAATGTTTGTTTTTTGCAGGAGAAAAACCGTTCCGTTGCGCATGGGAAGGTTGCGAGCGGCGCTTCTCGCGCTCTGACGAGCTATCTCGACACAAGCGGACCCACACGGGCGAGAAGAAATTCGCGTGCCATTTCTGCGACAACAAATTCATGCGGTCGGATCACTTGACGAAACACCTCAAACGACACGCCAAACAACAACAGCAGCAACAACGCGAATCTGTAGGTCAGCGTTTCCATCCGCAGTCGCGTTCCGGAGCCGACGGCAAACAGAGATTGCTTCGTCGTGGGGCCCGATGCTCTGTTGGCAACCCTGTGAGGAACATTAAACCCGCGCCTGCGAAAAGTAACGTCGGTGCTGCATCCGGGGTCGTGGTTCATCAGCCGATTTTCCATCTCGTGTTCCCACAACAGCAGCAGCAGCAGGAACAACGGGGTGAAGTCATGGGAGCGACACCATGTGGCAGTGAGGTTAAATATCAGCCAGTTGCAGTGGCGACTGTTGTAAGACCTACGTGCGGAAGTGTATGATGATGATGATGATGATGATGATTCGCAAAGGAAGTCGCGAAAAATAATCGGCCGACGAATAATTCTGGGGGGTTCGAATGACCCGGAAGGAAGAGAAGCAATAGCTCATTCTTGCCGGGAATTGAAGTGCAATTTTTTTGACCAGCGTTATTCAAACAGTCAGGGATGATTATTTTTTGCGGACGCAAAAAATATGTGAAGGCCTAGTTTTTGCGAGATGATTTTTTTGTGTGTTCCAGGAAACAAAATAATTGGTATTGAGAAGAGCTCGAGGTAGGTGTGTGTGTTTTTTATAGAATGTGAGAGGAAATATTGCAATGCAGTATTTCTTACCAATTTTGACAGCTGTTTCCGTGGTGAGACGAAATGATGTGTGAGGCTGTGGGAATTTTGAGTTTTTGGAAAAACTGAAAAATTCGTAGTCGATGTTGGCAAACGGAAAGTGATGGTGATTGAACGAGTTGAGTGCTACGTATTTTTTTCCCTGTGAGTGCAAAATATTTTTTTTTGCCAGACCATGAATTTTTTTAGCAGTTGATACGTATACAAGTACAAGTGCTCAGTCCGTGGAATGTGTGGCAATATGCTGATAAAAGGCGTTGATTCCATATCTGGGCTCATAATTATTTCAGTCAACCCAAAATAAGAGTTTGACGAAGTTACTCTGTACATGGAAAACTTTCTTGGACAAAGAGTGCTGCCGACAGTTTCCCATACTTAAAAATGATCAATTTTTCAGTTCGCAACAGTTTGAGTGTAGGGGAGTCAACTGGTTCAAGTAAACTGATGGTAGTGTTACAGTGCAGTATAATCTTGTTACAACAAATCTTGTATAGCAATTAAATCAAAGTCACTTTTATGTCCAGGTCCAATAGCCACAATTTGACAAGAGTCTCTTCATAACACATTTTTTGCAACTATAGATTATCAATGGCTTTTTTGTGAAGAGATTTTATTGTACATGAAAGGAGCTGTGACAGTGTTACCTTAAAATGTTGATTTTACCATCAGAAGACACAAAATCTCTTCAAGCCTTGATGTATAGCCCAAAATACCCTTAAAATTCAGAATTTTTAGCAGTTATGTGAGAGAAAAGAACACTATTCTTGAGGTGACTCAGACACGGTCTAAAAAAATTGATGTGGGAAGATTTTTCTGACTTTGCTGGATCCAACTGCATAATGTTGAACATGCTTCTACTCTGCATAATAATAGGGGAAATACGAGGGTTCTAACGAAAGTTCTTGGAGTAGCAATGAAAATGGCTAACTTGGCTAACTGATTTTAAAAATTCTGAGGGGAAAGCTGGGCTACAACAAAAAGGGCACCTTGTCTTTTTAGTGGAGAGTAAAACTCTATCAGGGTGAATCATGAAAAAAATTGTCAAACAGGGCTGATATTTTTTATGTGCCAAAGAATATGTTTTCCCTAAAGAAAAAATTTGTTTCAGGTCAACTGTAGGCCATTTTCATTGCTACTCTGAGAACCTTTGTTAGAACCCTTGTATGTATGGTGATGCACCAAAGAATCAAGGTTTTCAACATTCCTGACAAAAAATGTTTGATTCATTTGGATTTATTCAAAAAAATTTCAAAATGACGCAGACAAAGATGAAAGAGTAAAATAACTGAGTACACAGAACGTTTCTTCCGATGGCAGCATTGCAGTAGTGTTGGTCACAGAAGCATACCAACATCTCCGAAGCAGCTGGAGCATTTCTCTGCAAAGAGTTCCGAGGACCTGCTCCATGGAAGCAGCCATTTGAGGGCTGCATCTTGCCAAAAGAGTCCTGCAGAGGTGCACAGCTCCTGGTCACAGTTTCCTCGTCTGCTCCTATATGTAACATGTGGCCGTGAAGGATGTGAAAGGCGTTTAGATCATTTTTATTCACAGTTTTCTTTCATGAAAAAGAAAATCTACCTTATCCACCATGTGCCTTGAAGTGAAACAAGCTCCCCAAATTTTCACCTTAACATTTGGAGGATTTTCTATCCCAAGGTAAGGTACACACCCTACTTATAGTAACTGAAAAACTACAATACTATATTTGCTTGAGTACCACACTCATTTTTTTTTCAAAACCAAGTGGAAAAAGAGGATGCGTGTCATTATCAGCTGATACACAAACGTTCACATTTAAACTAAGTTTGTGTTTGTAAATACGTGATCTTCACAGAAATGTTGAAAAAAAATTCAAAGGAATACATTTTAATGGAAAGAATGGAAAATTGATCCTTTTTGGGATCAGTTAAAGTAAACATTTTAAAATTTTGTTTCATTTTATTCTTAAATCTTCGCACTTTACCAGTCACTAAACATGGGGTGCTTGTCATATTTGGGATACAATTTTGACCAAATTTAGGACCAAGAAACTATAGATGCGTGTTTTACTCAAGGGTACATTAACGGTACTTGAGTAAATAGGGTACATTCAAATTTGTTATCATTTGTCACCCTGGCACATTTTGTGGCACTAAGCAAGGGTGGCACTAAATTGGGGCTTTGTCTTAGATTGTCTTAGATGAACATTTTTTGAGGGCATCTATTACCAAATTGGTAAAATAGGCTTGTTTGAAGAATTGTTGAGCCAATGCGTCTTTTTTGTAAGATATGAAGCCACTGGACATAATTCGATGCTCAGATGAGCTGCTTTCACTGCATTTAAATTTGTGTTTTAGTAGTAAAAATTTTTGTACAGTTTATCAAATTTTTGCACATCTTGGGTCAATTATAATATTGGAAAGTGTCAGCCTTTCAATGAAAGCAATCAATTCAAGATCAGGTGGAGGGATTTCAATTTTTTCCTCCAAGACTTACCCAATTATTGACATGTTCTTTGATGGGGAAGATATCAAAGTAAAACCATCCAATTGCATGAAAATGCAGAAATAAAATTCCCAAATTAATTCATGGGCATGTGATTCTTGGTAAATTTAAAATCCTGAAATGAGACTTACTTTATCTGCTTTTTGCATATTTTTCTTTCAGGACAGGAACAATTTTGTGGCACTAATACTAAGTGAGTTGGCACTAAATCAGGGTTTCCCTTAAAAGCACAATGGAGGAAGATTTGTTCAAAGGAAATCTGTGGCACTATGCAAGGGTGGCAATTAATTGGGGTCAGGAAAAGAGACACTAAATACTGTAAAGGGTTTGACTGTAAAGGTATTTCAAAAGTAAAAGACACCAATTATCAAATTTGAACATGAATTCCACCTTGTTCAGGTTGAATTATTTAGGTTAATTCAACCTGATAAACCTCAGTTATAATTTCAATTCTTTTGACTTTTAAGAGTTTGTCTTGAAATCCCCCATTAAATTGAAGTGTGACGCACACAAATTTGTCAAAAATTCTGAAAATGCTATCTTCGCATATAACGTGCACTCCCCATTTTCCCTCTCAATTTTGAGAAAAAATTATGCCTGGTACTGCAACAAATGTGGTACAATATTTACTTTTTCCATCAGGGTGATGCTTCACACTCTTGACACAGGCGAAGCCCGGAGGGCATTTTGCGATGATCCCGGTCCAAGATGAACCTCGAGCAGAGTCTTTGCACTTTCTTGTCTCATTCTTCTTTGCGTC